ATACTCGTTGAAATCCGTGTTTTAGCCTACTTGCGGGTAGCAATAAGAACACATAACGTTTTCAAAAACGGATATCACGGTTAGTAGAGGCCGATCTTCGGATCGGGCGAGAGGGGGTGCTCATAGCTGACCTTCCCCAATCGTACCCTAGCTCCCGAGCCGAGGCAACTCTGGTGATGACGGACATGTGGCCTTCGGCACCGAGTCAGGGTTTCCTAAATTCCCCCATAAAAAATATTTAGGTGGCGACTTTGTATCTGGCAAAGCAGTCCATGTTTGGCACTTCTTTTCAAAAATCTGTTTTCTCAAAACGACTTGCCAGATTTGGACTCTTTGGTTCAGATTAAGAACCGTGACACAAATCGAGTCCGAACTGTAGCGGGGTCCCTCGCGGGTGCGTCTACAGGGTGCCAACCCTACACAGTTACGGAACAAACACACACTAAGTTACATCATTGGGATTAATAACTTAGCCCCTTAACTTGACTCGGTGTGGTTCTATAACATTATCCTCATTAAGATGTCTTAAACATGGCCTAGGAATGCCTAGGATGGAATGAGGATGCAAAAATGTGCTTCAAAACACTTTTCAAATTTTTTGCTGAAACAGGGGTTTCGCTCGAGCGTGGCTTTCTACGCTCGAGCGAGCTTACCAAAACAGAGGGGTCGTTCGAGCGTAGACTCCCTCGCTCGAGCGGTTGGTAAAAAATGCAAAAGTACTGGTTGTTGAAAATCCCCGCTCGATGCTCGCTTGAGCGTGAGACACAGTTCCTCGCTCGAGCGTAGGTCTCATCGCTCGAGCGTGCTTCTGCGTCCACAAAAACCTGAGAGCTTGCAAACTACGCTTGAGCCAGCATTCCGTTGCTCGAGCGGAGCCCTAAACACAAAGGTGGTCGCTCGAGCGTGGAATTTTTCGCTTGAGGGTGGAAGCCAAAATTTGGGTTTTCCAAATTTGCTTCCAAAGCTCAAACCAAGAATTAAACTTATCAAAACTCAACCTTTTGGGCCAATTTTGCTGGAAAACACTTGGAAACTCATACTACAACATGTTTTGAAGATCAATTTTGTAAAATCAAGCCCAAAGGTGAGACAATTGAACACAATTTCAAAGAAACTTTCATGAACTATGTAAGAACATAACATGCATGAGTTTTTATGGATTCCAATGCTCCAAAACATGGTCAAATGCAAGATTGAACTCTAAAACATGGTGAATTCATGGACTATAACCAAAATATGGACATGCATGTGGAAATTCTCATGTAAATGAGCTCCAAACTCAATGATATGGACATGCATGCACACAATGCTACTCAATTCACCTTTTTAGGCTATAACTTGACTCTAATCTCCAATATTTCCATGAACCATGCAAGAAACAACTCAATTTCATGTTCAAGAGGGTGAGTTTCCTACCTTAGATCTTGAATTCCAAGTATGGAAGCTCAATTTTGCAAATCTCCTTCAATTCCTCTAATTTCAAACAAAATTCTTGTTGAACTAAAATTTTCTTCCAACTCTTTCTCTCTTTCTCTCTCGTTTTTGGTCTAGGAAATGAGATGAAGAATGGCACATCAAAATGTGAATTAAACTCTAAACAAAGTTTTAACAAAGTGGCCTACTATAATGGTAAAAGTGTAATTACCTAGGTTCAATTAGTTTAACATTATTTAATCTAATCTAATCGTTCCAAATCGAATTTAAATTAAACCTATCATAAAATCTTATAAATCCTAATTAGCATATAATACTAATCAATTTCGGAATCGGTCGCTGATAAGGCTTTCAATTTGCAATTCGAAACTAAAACATGAACAGGTCATTTTACGACAAACAGATAGAAATGTAATTTAAGCAACACACTCATCCAAACAGATTAGGATTTCATTCTAATCAATTACTTATTATGCTCAAACACAGTTTAACACTAATCAGAGGTGAGGGTTGTTACAGTATCGGGCATGACAATTGGAATGGCCTTAGCCATCGTAACATCTTGATCTGTGAAAATAGTTTTTAGAGCTTTGTTTGGCATTGCCTCCAGAAAAATTTGAAACAACCATGTAAAAGATTCAGCAGTCTCATCATACATCAACGCTGCACCGAATATAACTGTTTCTTAATGATGATTAAATCTAACAAATGATCCACTAGATTCTCTGAATCATATATATAAATATATAATAAAAAAAATTATATGAATCCACAAATAAATGTATGAATCAGAAAATAATATTTACAAGTAAATGTGATTAACTATCTAACAACAAATATGAATTCACTAGAACAGATCAATGTGATTAACTATATATATATAGAACATAAAATTTCATATGAAAAAATCTGACTTATACATATAGAATATAAAATTTACCTACTTCAGTGAGTGAACTCATTTCATATGAAAAAATCTGAATTAATTGATTTCAAAAAAATCTGAATCATGGGTTAAAATCTGAATCAAATAGATTAGAATCTGAATTAATTGATTTCATATAGATTAAGGTCTCGTTTGGGAACAGGCTTTTTTAGTAACTTTTTTGACTTTTTGGCTAAAATGTAATGTAAAAAAAACTAGTATATTTGGGATGACTTTTTGACTTTTTACGAAAAGATGTGCAAAAAGTAAAGAGAAAATGAAATCTTTGACTTTTTGGTATGGGTTGTTGGCTTTTTAATTTTTTTAGTAACTTTTTGACTTTTTGGCTAAAAGAAACACTTCCCAAATGAGGCCTAAGTGAAATGGGTTAAATAAATCAACATATATGGGTTAAATAAATCATATATGGTTCCAATCTATTTATGTGTTTTTGAAAAATCAATAACAACCTATCTATGAATCCCCAACAGATTATGTGACTGAACCAAACCAAAATCAATAACAAATCTATACATATATATCTATATATATAACAACAAATCTGTGCAAAAAGTAAAGAGAAAATGAAATCTTTGACTTTTTGGTATGGGTTGTTGGCTTTTTAATTTTTTTAGTAACTTTTTGACTTTTTGGCTAAAAGAAACACTTCCCAAATGAGGCCTAAGTGAAATGGGTTAAATAAATCAACATATATGGGTTAAATAAATCATATATGGTTCCAATCTATTTATGTGTTTTTGAAAAATCAATAACAACCCATCTATGAATCCCCAACAGATTAAGTGACTGAACCAAACCAAAATCAATAACAAATCTATACATATAGACATATATATATATATATATATATATAATAGCAAGATGATGAAATAGACCTCGCTGTCGCCGCAATGTCGCCTTCCTGCCATCGCATCACTGCCGGACTCACTGATGCCCGTGATCCTTTGCTCGCCATTGCGGTGCTCCTCTATATCCGCCATCTCTTTCGTCTCTTAGTTCCTCTCTCAGTTAGTATTCATTCTCTTTCAGTTCTTCACTCCGACTTTCAGTCGCTTCTCACGATGCCTCTTTCTCTGTACTAGGGTTCACTGACTCAAATCGATGGTGCAAAGCAAAGAAGACGATACAGAGAGGAGAAAAAGGGAGAAATGAAAAATTTGAATTAAAAAAAAAACTAAATAAAATGACGTCACTTTATCCAAAATGACGTCGTTTTGGAGACCACCGCAGGAAACCATGGTAGATGATTTGGACTCCGCTACCGCTACCACTACCACTACCACCACTTCAACCACCACCATCATGTCACTATTACTACTACCATCACCACCATCATTACTATTGCTATCACTACCACTACTATTATGCTAGAACTACCACTACCACCACCACCACCGCCACCATCATGCTGTCGCCGTCATCACCACCACTTCTACCATCACTTTCATCACCATTGTCATTATTGTCATGAATATCACCATTATTTTACTACTACTATCATCGCTACCACCACCACCATCACCACTATGCCACTCCACCACCACCATCACAATATAAAAATTAAAATATATAATTTAAAAATAATAAATTTTATTTTATACATATCAAACAACTTTTTTTTAATTCAATATTTAAATTTTTATCAAATAATTTTTTAACTTAAAAAATTTAATATTTAATTTTTAATTTTCAACTTTATCAAACACCACCTAACAATCATACTAATAATACAAGACGGTCAATGTGATTTGGCGTAAAAAAAAATAAAAATAAAAACAATGAAATTTAGACATCTATTGGGGTTTGGATGTATGTTTTAAAATAAGATATTGTTACTTAGAGTGTAGGTAGATGTAGTGTAACATTGCTCTACCAAAAATATATTTTAAATAATAATTCTAACAATTTTATTATTGTATAAGAATGCAATTAAAATTTTTATTTTTCTGTTAATTTTTTTAAATGATAAATTTTAACAAAAAATAATTTTAATTTTCAAAATCACGTAATTTATATTTTAAGTAAATTTAAAAAGGTATGTTTATAATTTGAAAAATGTTAAAGATCTCAAAAAAATTTATAAAATTAGACATTTAATAAATATTTTAAGTGTCTAACATTACTTAGAAAACAGAATTTATTTAATATTTTTTTAAAAAGTTTTTTTTTTTTATTTCGTCCACTCATGTTTAGCTGGCGAGAGAGGCCACTGCCAACTGGTTATGAAAAAAAAAAAAACTAATGGGGCAGTAAAAAATAAAGTAAAATAAAATAAAAGGTTTTTTTTTTTTTTTTTTTTGGTTGGGTTTTCAAATCCACAACATTGATTTTGTTTAAATCACAGAAAATAAAATAAAATTTTAAATTTAATAAAATAAAATACCATATCCAACTTAAAATTAGTATATTTTTTTTTCTTAAAAAAAAAATCAACAAAATTAAATACCCTTCTAAACAAGTCTTTTTGGCCTAGACCAAAATAACGAACGCTTAATTCAATACGGATCGTCAACGACAGTCGATAAGAGAGAGGTGAGGGGTAAAAAACCCTAGGGGGGAGAGAGAGAGAGAGAGACTCATATTCTCTGTTTTGATCATCGTTCTCTCCGATTCACATTGCATTCCAAGAATTTCCATAATCTTCATCTTCATCTAAAAAAGGTCAGCATTTTTTTCCTCTTTCTTTTATGCGAATCTGTTGTTGTTCGATTTTCTTTGAATAAATCTGTTTGGTTGCTGGGAAAATGGGGCGGAGGATATCAGGAAAGAAATTTGTGAATCTTCGTTTTAAAAGTTATTTTTAACTGGGAGCTGAGAGAAAAAAAAATGAGATTTTTTTTTTTTTAGTAATGTTTTGATTGAAATTACTTGCTGGAACCCTACGTTTTCTTGCTTCTGCTAATCTGGAAGCATCTCTTTATGGGGAAGATAGTTTTAGAGGTGATTTACGGACCTTTAAATTACATATTTGTTTTTAGTGGCCAACCTTTTTATTTGATTTTTAAAATAGAAAAATCTCACACTGAACTCATGGATGCACTTAAAGCTGGCCCTGTTTTGATCATCGTTCACTCCGATTCACATTGCATTCCAAGAATTTCCATAATCTTTATCTTCATCTAAAAAAGGTCAGCATTTTTTCCCTCTTTCTTTTATGCGAATCTGTTGTTGTTCGATTTTCTTTGAATAAATCTGTTTGGTTGCTGGGAAAATGGGGCAGAGGATATCAGGAAAGAAATTTGTGAATCTTCGTTTTAAAAGTTATTTTTAACTGGGAGCTGAGAGAAAAAAAATGAGATTTTTTTTTTTAGTAATGTTTTGATTGAAATTACTTGCTGGAACCCTACGTTTTCTTGCTTCTGCTAATCTGGAAGCATCTCTTTATGGGGAAGATAGTTTTAGAGGTGATTTACGGACCTTTAAATTACATATTTGTTTTTAGTGGCCAACCTTTTTATTTGATTTTTAAAATAGAAAAATCTCACACTGAACTCATGGATGCACTTAAAGCTGGCCCGGACACCAGGTTATAAATAAAAGAAAAAGAAAGTGCTGAGCGTAAGAATTGTAATCTGGGCTCATCCATCATCTGGCTCAGCCCGCTCTGATTGACAGGCCTAGCTCGGTGCTTTGTTCTTTCCTCAATTGGAAGAACTAAGAAGTTGTTCGAAGGTGTAAATTTTATTATGCAATTACCTAACATGCCAAATTCTCCACAATTGATGTAACCAATGAAACTAAGCTTTCTAATTGTTCAGGATCATAACAAATTACCACTCATTTGTATTCATTGTTCTTGGAAACTCTCATTTGGGTTGGTTTCAATTTGGCTGCTGGCAGTGCTCTTTTCTACACCCCTTGACGTAGGATTACACTTGAGATTTCATGATGCTGATTACAGTCACTTGTTTGGTGGATTAAAACTAAAACTTCTCATGGCTTTTGGGTTAATGGAGATAAAAGGGATGTTTGATGGCTTGTAGATCAGGAAGATGAAGTATGATAGCTGTAATTTAAGAATTTAGCTTGTTGAATTTTATGAACAATAAGAACAAGTAGTGGAAAGAGAAGAAGAATTAGGAGAAGTTTGAAATAGAGAAAAATAGGAAATGGTTAGTACATAAAAAACTCGAGGTTTAATACCAAGTTACTTTAATCTGATTGCAGTAGAATAGCTTTATTTATAGACTAAAGAAACTCCTTCTAATTAAGTGATAGCACTCCTGAGAGTTGCTGATATCATAATCAAAAAGCCCAATTTTATTTATTTATTTATTTATTTTTTATTTTTATAAATAGAAAGATTTCACACAAATCTAGTGGTAAACTAATTTTGGGAAATTGTTCTATTGGAAACAATATGAAAAATCATGAAAGTAGAAACTCTTAGAAAATAAGTTTTAAAGGATAGCAACTTTTTTAAACTTGAAATTTTTGCTTGGAAATTTTGATTTCTGGACCTTATTCAATTTAGCATAGTTTATAGCCAAAGGACCACTAAACTTGATACCAACTGACCTAGGTTTTCATAATGGCTAATGTACCTCTAATATGCTAAACCATAACAAACCAAGAAATAACTCAACCAACTAATATTCAATCAAAGAGTCTTGTTGAGTGGAGTGAGGCCTAATGGATCAGTTCTAGGTGTTCAAAGAGGATTACATCTTCTAAGTTCTAACCAAGTTATGGCTACAGTATCATCAAGTTAATTCTTTTTGAAGTAGCCCTTTTGAAGCGGTTCTCACTGTATGCATCTTAATTCAAGCAGTGGGTAGCCCTCTTCCCATTTGAGACTCTTTTCACCTACTCTAGGTAACCCTCTCTAGTTCTAATTTCGTCTTATTTTATTTTTTTAATATTTTGTTTGGGTTGTTGTGGGAGTAACTTATGTAAGAGAAGTTATTTGCTTAAAAGTACTGGGTTCGTCTAGGATGCTTATTTTGCTTAATTTAGGGTATTTTCTTCTTCTTATGGATTAATAATGCACAACTGTGTTCGATGTTTGTTATACTGTGCATTGTCTCCTTCTGTATCTGTTTTCTTTGGATCATGTTTTGGAGTTAATATTATTTCCCATACTAGTCGTCTTGGAATTTTCCTTTTCCTTTCTTCTTAATACTTTCCCCTTCTTTATTTAATATTTTGTCAATTTGTACTACATTTTTGACAGGGACTAGTGGGAATTGGGTCATGGAAAATATCAAGGGGTCATCAAACATCAGAAATGCAATTTACTATGGAAAACACCCTCTACTTCCTCCTAAAAGTCCATTTCCTAGTATTTCTCCGAATTTTGTTGATTATGTCCCTAGCCCTGCTATTGGACCTAAAGGTATTGCAAAGCACAGAGAGGTGAATTCGAATCACCAGCGTACTTCCTCTGAGAGCTTTCTGATGGAGGAGCAACCTTCGTGGCTGGATGAACTCCTTAACGAACCTGAAACACCTGTGCGCAAAGGAGGTCATCGGCGTTCATCAAGTGACTCCTTTGCATATATAGATGTAGCTAATGCATCTACTATTGATTATGCAGTTCAGGATGAGTACACATTTAAAAATATGGTTTCAGTGCCTTCATGGGGATCACAAGACTTTGAACAATATAAAGATGTGCAGCATTCTTCTTTGGGAAAACCAAAGAATCGGGCACGGGATTTTTCTTTGAATTCAATGTCACATCCAAGAGGTGTTCTTTCTGCTAGAGACAATGTCATTATGCAAAGTTCAGGATCATCATGTGTTCCACAAGAAGCAGATTTGATTCCATCTGCAGCCACTGAAATTCACGATCCAATTGAATCTGGTCCTCATGATCCAAAAACTGCCTCTGAAAGGAAGGATTCTGCTCATGCTAAGCCTTCTACAGTAGAAACAGATACAAAACGTGCTAAGCAGTAAGTCCTATTCTTTGCTTTAATACCTGACAATATTAGCCTGCCTGCTTGTATTTTTTTGGTATTAACTTTTTTTTTTTTTTTGGGATAAGTTATTTTTTGATATTACATTAGAACTGCAATGTTTGTTGATCTTAACTCTCAACTGCTGCTTATTGTTTATTGCTGCTTATTTGTTGCCATGATCTGTATTTGACTCTATTGAGTTACTTGTGATAGACTTCTGTTATTTGATCAATTTAAAGTGTGGATATTTTGCGACTCTTTACTCTTTGAAGGTTGATTGCTATCCTCTTGTGATATTATTAAAGATAAGTGTCCAGTAAATCTGTAATTCTGTATATTTGAATAAGTAGCTAATACTCATTAGAGAGCGATTGAATCTTTCTAAGATATAGAAGGTAGTTAATTTGTCTAAAATATGTAAATTTTACATAAAAGGTGACCTCCATATAACAACTCTTAATTGGTTTACTGTGGTTGAAGGACAGAGATAAATAGCAATATTTCCTCCTATTTTCTTGTTTTTTACTTCGGTGGTAAAGAAAATGAACGGTGGCTGGTTTCAAGCCAGATCTACTTGTGACTTAATCACATTTTGGTTAGAGTCTATTTATATTTTTTTTTAGGTTAGTACAACTTTGGTTGGTTTTGTATGTGATTTTTTTATGTTTCTTATGCTAGGGTTATTTTGGCATGGGCTGTACGTGCTGCTTATGAGTCATAATACGGTTCAAGTTATATTATTTGGTCTCCAAATATGTTTTTTCAGAAGGTTTTAAATGGGTTTTTACTTGTGAGATTAGGAATTCTAGTCTATATAAAGCTTATTTAATTCAATGGAGAATATGACATTTCCATAACTTTTAAAACTTTGCAATTGTATGATGTGATGATTCTATCCCTGGGTGTGGTTCTTAGAATTTCTCCTTGTTTTCTTTCTTTATTTTTCTTCACTTCTAGCTTATAACACTTTAGAAACTGATCTGCTTCAAGCCTTTTGTCAACCAATGAAGCACCAACACTTAAAAACAAGTGCGGTAGGGTGTCAGACACGAGAACATTGTGGGGACACGTAGGGGACAGGCCATGTGGCGTGTTAATTTATTTAATTAATTTGTTTTCAGGGGACACACCGGAGACACGTGGGTGGGGGACACTTTGGGGACACGCCAACTAGTTATTTTTTACCTTTTTTCTTTAGTTCTTTTGATGGATATTGAATGTTGAATGTTTATTATTTTTTGCTTAGATTTAAATACTTAATGAACTATCCATAAAAAAGATATAAATGATTACTGTTAATTTAAAGGTTATGATTTATTTATTAAAAGTATCAAATTAGTATTTGTTTTTGTTAAGTAGATGTAATATTAGTCTACATAGCAAATAAATATATGAAAAAATATTTTGTTGCCGTGTTTCTGCTACGTCTGTGTCCGCATTTTTTTGAAATCATAGTGTCCTGAGTCTGTGTTTGTATCCGCATTTGTGTCCGTGTTTGTGCTTCTTAGCTCTTTTTTTTTTTTTTTTTTTTTTTTTTTTTTTTTGGGTATAATAGCTCTTTCTTTTTTCATGCCTCCCACATTATCACAACTCTCAACTAAGAGACAACTCCTCTCACTTTCTTGCTTGTCTCTGACTAATTTGCAGTAGTTACACAACTTTTTACTGAGATATAACTCCTCCATCCCTTCTCTATTATATATAAACATGGTGTTCACACAATTTTAATTGTATTGGATTTCTGGCTCTTATTTATTGTCAATATTTTACCGAAAGAGAAATGATAGAGACCCACAATTTAGGCAAGGTAGTGAGGCTTTTATGATTGAATGTCTGACAAATCAAAAGTTGGCATCTATTATGCCACATCATTGTGGGAATTTTTTTAGGGGTCTCAAACATTTTTCTTATTGAATTGTCTGATCAGTATGACAAGGTGTAAATATGTGATGAAGGGGTTAAGAGGATGTGAGGACCATTAATATAAAGAAACATATAACCAAATTTTGGATTTTGTCTAATTAAATTTAAGTTGCTCTGGAAGTGGAATTAATTCATAACAGTTATGTGATTTAAAATTAAGTTGCTTGAGCTGATGTAAGAACTTTTCAAACTAGTTGATAGTTGTTCCCTGTTTGCACCACAAAATGGATTATAAACTAGTAAATCACATGTAGAGTTTTTTGGGAGAGAAATGCTGAAAAATGTGTAAGGATGCAAGAGCTCTTTTCCACTTATATGTTCAAAGAAAAAGGGTATGTTGGGTTTTTGGCCCCTATGTTGAGTATGTATTCCAAATCTTGTGTTAGTAAGTACTACTATACTATTAAATACATTTGGTAGTTTGATACAAGATGTCTGCTATTCTTAAAAAAGGATTGTTGTAATCCAAAATGGTTAAGAGATGATTAATTTGATATAAAAGTTGTATAGTAAATCTGAAATGCTATTATGAAGGCAATTTGCTCAACGTTCACGGGTCCGGAAGCTTCAATACATTGCTGAGTTGGAAAAGAATGTGCAAGCTTTACAGGCAAGTATTATAAACTACGAAATTTTGAGGTCGAATTTTCGTGGATAGGTTAGACTGTATTTTGTTATAATAAGCTGATGTTACTCCTCATTATGATTACAGTCAGAAGGATCTGAAGTTTCTGCTGAGCTTGAATTTGTCAACCAGCAGAATCTTATTCTGAGCATGGAGAACAAAGCTCTGAAGCAACGTTTGGAAAATTTAGCCCAGGAGCAGCTTATCAAGTACTGTAAGTTTTCATACTTCTTGAACTTTTGTAAGTCATGTTTGCTTCTGTTGCTTGAAAGTCTAAATCAGTTTTTATAACTCTCATTAGTTCACATTCATCAGGTGCTGGTTTACTAGATATAGTGACATGTTAAAAGTATATTTACTTATCACAAAAGAAAAGAAAATGTGGTGTGTTAGAACAAGTTGGTGACTTTGTATATCATTGTTTCCAGTTTGTGAAATGGAAACAATAGACAGCATTGGAAATTCCTAAAAAATATGGGAACTTTGATAATGGATGCAGTTTAAGGGTAATTGGAAATTAGGAATTCCTAAATGGAAATTGAAGAGAAACTGTGTTGAAATGAGCAGAAAGGAACACGGAGGCATCTTCAGGAGCTTTTGCTGGCATTTTGGACACTAGTACTGCTGGAACTACTGTAGAGGTTTTATATTTGGAGTGAGAGCTTATGGTAGTTTATCTGTCAGTAACATAACATCTTTTACTATTTTCAGTTCTCATGTGGACTTTGTTCTTTTGTAGCATGAAGAAACATTCCTAGACAGAGCTTTGCACTATTGCAAATTCTTTTTCCATGAAAAGGCTCCTATAAAAGTACGAATGGTTGATCAAAAAAAATTTATGAAGTGGTTAGGCGGTGTATTAAATCCAAAACCATTATTAGTTTTATAAACAATACAATTAAAGATGTTTTCCTGCATTGATTCTTCTACATCCTAATCCATATAACCATTGTGATCACTCTTGAAATTATTAATTCTTTATAATTAAGGCTTTTGTATATATATATTGGTTTTTCATGGAGCTGTACGTTATTTGTAAAGAGGCCTTTTTTCTTGCTTTGTTGTTCACATTACCAATGGACGACTGGAAGGAAAAAGGCTACATCACTTGTAGGGGTTTTCTTTTGATAGAGTTGGATCCAAGTATTTCTGGAATTTAAAAAACTATATAAAATGATATGGTAAAATTGTGAGCCTTAGCACTACAAAAAAAGACTTATCAAGATATTACTTAGGCCTTGTTTATCAATAGGCTATTTTAGCCAAAAAAGACCCACTACAAGATCACATCACTCTTTTATTTTTTTTTGTACATTTTTTCATAAAAACTTAAAAAATTACTGAGATAGCCAATGTCACTAGCACGCCATTTATAGGAGTTTGAATTGTCTCCCGTCCACAAACTTTATTCAATTTTATGTGTAGATCATCTATAAAAAAAAATTAGATTGACATGACAAATATATCCGCATGTCTGTGTCATATCCATGTTGTGTCACATGACAAATATATCCACATGTCCGTTTCCTAGACAGAGCCTTCTTTTGTTGGTTGCTTTTGATAGAATTAGTATTTAGTGTAAGGAGGTTTTGGGAAGTTAAAAAGAACTCCAAAAATTATATCTTAAGAAGGATTGATGAGTTGGATAGTATTGTCTAGTGGAGGACTTGGTGGTGTCTCCTTGAATTGTGGAACCATTAATTGAGTGTGGACTGTTCATTCATCTGGTCTGTGGCTATTGTACCTCTCGAAGTTAAAGGGTCTGCATGGTCTGTGGCTTGCAAGAAGCTTAATGCCAATGGCATGATTTAGGAAATGAGGCCTAATTGCCTTTTGCTTCCACAATGATGTGTCATATGTAAAAGGGGAGAGGAGACTATTGATCACTTGTTCTTGCATTGTGTTGTAGCTATGACTTTATGGCACAAATTCTTTTTAGTCTAAGAACCACATTCATTTTTAGGAAGGTGGCGTGCCCATGTCGGACACACAATTGGGGGACCCACACATCCATTTGTTTATATTTTAGTAGTTTATATGTCATAGTATTGTATACATTTGTATATTGGTTGGTTTGTTGCAAGAAATGCTTATCATCGGCCTGGAAATCGTTTGCTTTGCAGTAAACTGAGACTGTAGAGCTTAGTAGCATAGAATTACACACAAGACATTGACACAATTGGACTCTCAACACAAATACAATGCACAATGAATCCTTTAGAAGGACAATATATGGAGAGGATACAGCACCATGTAAATATAAGGCTACTACATATATCACTAGTGTCTGTTGCACACTTGACTTGTGGTCACCCTGTGTACGTGTGAAACTTTTCAAATTGAGAAGAAAAGGTTGTACACTTCTCTGGGTGTATTTTTTTGTCCCTCCGTCCCCACCCACTAGGAAATGGTGAAAAAATTTAGCTTATATTTCATTAACCTTTTCATTTTCATTTTCCTTTCCAAATCCATGATATTAACACCACCCAAGTGTGGACACATCTTGAGGAGTTACCCAGAATTTTGATGTCCAAAATTGACCGTGTTTTTTGTAGGATGTTTATGCTACCTAGCTTTGGATAAACAGTTTCCTGTTTGCTTGGAGAGATTATTAGTTTCCTGTTGGGATATATTGGCTTTCCCTTGCATGTTCTGCATTGATTTTAAATGAATAATCTTAGGGATCATGAAAAAAATCATGAAATGCATCATGAAGATTTTTCATCTTTTGATTAGTGTGTGATGTTTTATTGTATGTGTAATCCAAATGTGGAAAATATTTCATGATCATCTTCATGATATTTTTTTCATGATCCCTAGCATTACTCATTTTAAATTAGCGTTTCAATAATATATGACACTTGAATTCAAAGAAAGAATGAGAGGCTAATATTTTCTTTTCGTTTCCAAATCTCTATCCAAATTCATAATCCAAACACAACCTTAGAAGAGAGATATCAGGCTGTGCTATGCAGGCAAGCTGGGAATTCATTTCCGCATATTCATTGAGAAACTAAGACAATTTAGGCTTTGTGCAGTGGAACATGATGTATTGGAGAGAGAGATTGGAAGGCTGCGAGCGCTGTATCAGCAACAACAACAGCCACCGCAACAACAGCAACCATCTTCGGGCCATCGACGCACCAAAAGTAGGGACCTTGATTTCCAATTTGCAAACCTTTCTTTGAAACACAAGGATGCTAGTTCTGGTCATGACCCTATTTCAGGCCCACTTAACATTTGAACCATGTGACGTAGCTAGCAAGCCGTTTGTGCTGTGCCGTTCCGTGACTTTGCCTCAACTGATGTTTCCATGCCATTGACAAATATTTGCAGTTCCCGCTCATGGTGCCTGCCCTCTTTGCTGAAGCTTTGCTTGTTTGACATCTTGCCTTTCTGTTTTTGCTTTTAATTTTTGTTTTTGGGTTTTTAATTAATATGTATGTGCACCTGGTAGTCATGCCAAGAACTTGTGTTTTTGGCGGGTTGACTCACCGGAGGTGGTGACTCGAACAGCTTGATCATTGTTCATCTCCCCCTGTATGTTCCAGCTATTAAAATTCATAAATTTTCCTTATTTTATACTTTTCGTTATGCTGCACACATTGTTGAGGCTGTACTTCTAAATGCATTGTGCTAAATGTGTAATAAAAAGCTATGCTTCGGAAATTCTGTTTTATTCATGACATGATTGATGCCTTGAGTTTCCAGGTTGCCAGTTAGACTGTTGTGCTCTGTTTGTTATGAGCCTTTATTTATTTATTTTATTTCCCTTTTGGCGCAGAAAGGGTGGGTAGACTTAAACATTTATGGCATGTTTGATTGGAAGAATTAGAGCATGGGATTGAGATTATTAATCCGCGGGCCCAATTATCCTATGTTTGTTTTGACATTTTGTTTTAGGATTATCAATCCAATGGATAATTAATCTAACAAATTTGTAGGATTGTTAGTAATGGGGTAGGGGTGAGATTGTGAATACCACACTAATTTGATTGGATTATTAATACTTCACTATTAATCTTGTGGAATCAAACATGACCTTACTGTATCGTCGTGATATTTTGGTATTTATGTGCATGTCCTCAGGAAATATGATTAAATGTTGTCATATGAAGTGCACAAGGCTACTGTTTACAATATGGTTAGGGATGTAATGTAGCAACTCAATTTTAACATCGAAACAAGGTAATTGACCGCTAAGGTGGACGGTGATAATTCTCTTCCCTTTCTTTGTTTTGGAACTTGTTCACCATTTGGAGTTTGGTATTGATAAATGCACTGTACGCTGATTCATAGGATTAATCTGTCCTTTTGAACCCCTTTTGTTTCCTCTATTTCTCTCTACTTCTGTCTCTTGGTTGATTTTTCATTATCATTGTCTTCCTGAAGAACTGTGTTTTGGTGTGAAATATTTAGGGGTTTTCTGGACAAATATCTATCTACATGATCTGATCTAGATCAAAACTTTAGAAAACATTACAAGTAAAATGCTAATAAAATAAAATAAAATGTGTACTTAAAAACAAGAGTCAAAATATATATTTTTTAATTTTTCAAAACAATACTACAATTAACAATAATGAAGAAACAATTATGCTGAATGTAAATGGTGCACTGAGGTGGCCATTGTTTGGGAGCCTTGGGTAGTCATCTGGAGAGGGCATGACACAGTCATCACCATTGAAGGAAATTTTTCTTGGAAAAGCCCATCCTTCCCTGAAAGTGAAAATCCCTGTATCTTTGTGAAGTACCATCTCAGTTTGTATATTTCCGTTGTACCCTGATTGGAGTAACATGTCGTTGTAGTACTGAATACCATAAAACATCCCCGTATCGTCTGGATAAATGAGGTTAGAAAGTGGAGGAACATGTAAGATTCTTTCTCACCAAACGCAGACATTCTTATAAAATAAAGGGAATAATCTTTAATCTTGATGCATTTCATAACCATCCATAGAACTTCAATGATCATCAAAATAAGTGAAACTATCAAAAAATGTGATAAATAGAGTACCAACCAACTTACTTAGGTCACCATATTGATTGAGTGCCTTATAGTTGAAGCTAAAAACTTCTGTCACACTTCGCATGTTGGGATGTAACACCACCAAGTTCCATTGGCTATAATTCTTTGCATAATTCAAGTTTGTCACTGTGATTTTGACCCGCCAATACTGCGTGTAACTTACTTTAACGTGCCAGTGCACTTTTATTGGGCACATGTGTTGTGTACACTGCACTATTGGCTGTGGAGCTTCATTAGGCAATTGCAACACTGATGGTGAGTCACCGGGCCTGCGGTTATCAGTAAAAATAGTGAAATGGAAATTAAGATAGTTTTTAAAAACTGGATGAAATCAGTTGTTTTCAGATTAGAATCTCATTGTGATGTTGTTCATTTTTTCTTTTGTTCATACTAGAACCATTGAACTCGTTAGATACTGATTCCTATCTCAAAAGTGTTTTCTCCTTGATTTCTTTTCATGAGAAAATGGCCTGATAAAATGGGAACATGATTTAGAAAGCTGAGAAAGTTCTTTACAAGAATAAGGGATTTACCTTACACATTTTGCTTCAGGTTGTCCTTGGCAGCGACAACTACAGAGAGGGCATGAAACGATGGTTTCATTGTAGAATGCAGACAAGGAAACACAACAAGTTGGAGTCGGTGAAGCGCGAAATTGAGAGTATGAACAAGTCACATTATATGTGGCTACAACAAACCGAAACAACAGAAGAACATAAGAAAGAAAAAGAAAGAGAAGAGTGTATAAAACAGAAGCTAAATTATGTTCACTTCTTCTAGTCAATGAAGGGGCGAAATTGGTGAATCCAACTTTTGCTCTTCCCGACTAGACCTTTGTTATAGCATTAGAAATTACCAACTTAGTGTGAATGCTAGTGGACTTACTGTAAAATAAATTGATGTATTATTGATTGTTTTGTATTGATTGATTGATATATTGATTGTTGTGTTAATATCTGTATATTACAATTCCTATATATAGAGGAGAAGATGGTAGTGGAGTGTGTGATAGTGGAGGTGGTAGGTGTGGAGTGTGTGATAGTGGAGGTGGTAGGTGGAGAGAAATTCTAACAGCCCCCCGCAAACTCAAGGAGGATAGAAACTAACCAACTTGAGTTTGGAGAGAAGAACAAAACAAGAAAATACAGAAAAAATAAAATAAAAAATAGGAGACACTGTATGGTCGTGTCAGACCATTGGTGAAGACACTGGATGGTGGTGTCATAACGTTGTAGAGGATAGAAGACAGTTTATGGGGTCATGTCGGACCGTTGTAGAAGACAGTTTATGGGGTCATGTCGGACCGTTGTAGCAGACAATGTTGTGACAGTTGTTGTGACAGTTTACGGAGTCTTGCTGGACCCTTGTAGAAACTAACCGGAATCAATGTCGGGACAGTTTACAGAGTCTTGCCTATCCAACCTAGGAGCTAACCGGAATCAATGTCGGGACAGTTTACAGAGTCTTGTCGGACCCATAAAGGAGCTAACCGGAATCAATGTCGGGACAGTTTACAGAGTCTTGTCGGACCCATAAAGGAGCTAACCGGAATCAATGTCGGGACAGTTTACAGAGTCTTGTCGGACCCATAAAGGAGCTAACCGGAATCAATGTCGGGACAGTTTACAGAGTCTTGTCGGACCCATAAAGGAGCTAACCGGAATCAATGTCGGGACAGTTTACAGAGTCTTGTCGGACCCATAAAGGAGCTAACCGGAATCAATGTCGGGACAGTTTACAGAGTCTTGTCGGACCCATAAAGGAGCTAACCGGAATCAATGTCGGGACAGTTTACAGAGTCTTGTCGGACCCATAAAGGAGCTAACCGGAATCAATGTCGGGACAGTTTACAGAGTCTTGTCGGACCCATAAAGGAGCTAACCGGAATCAATGTCGGGACAGTTTACAGAGTCTTGTCGGACCCATAAAGGAGCTAACCGGAATCAATGTCGGGACAGTTTACAGAGTCTTGTCGGACCCATAAAGGAGCTAACCGGAATCAATGTCGGGACAGTTTACAGAGTCTTGTCGGACCCATAAAGGAGCTAACCGGAATCAATGTCGGGACAGTTTACAGAGTCTTGTCGGACCCATAAAGGAGCTAACCGGAATCAATGTCGGGACAGTTTACAGAGTCTTGTCGGACCCATAAAGGAGCTAACCGGAATCAATGTCGGGACAGTTTACAGAGTCTTGTCGGACCCATAAAGGAGCTAACCGGAATCAATGTCGGGACAGTTTACAGAGTCTTGTCGGACCCATAAAGGAGCTAACCGGAATCAATGTCGGGACAGTTTACAGAGTCTTGTCGGACCCATAAAGGAGCTAACCGGAATCAATGTCGGGACAGTTTACAGAGTCTTGTCGGACCCATAAAGGAGCTAACCGGAATCAATGTCGGGACAGTTTACAGAGTCTTGTCGGACCCATAAAGGAGCTAACCGGAATCAATGTCGGGACAGTTTACAGAGTCTTGTCGGACCCATAAAGGAGCTAACCGGAATCAATGTCGGGACAGTTTACAGAGTCTTGTCGGACCCATAAAGGAGCTAACCGGAATCAATGTCGGGACAGTTTACAGAGTCTTGTCGGACCCATAAAGGAGCTAACCGGAATCAATGTCGGGACAGTTTACAGAGTCTTGTCGGACCCATAAAGGAGCTAACCGGATATATATATATATATATATATAAAATAAAGAAAGGTGGAGAGAGACATGCCCATGTGGGGCGGTGGGTTGGAAAATATTTTAAAAAAAAGAGAGAGAGAAAGTGTGTGCTATGTCCCCCTGTGTTGTTTGCTCTTTTCTTCTTTATTCTTCTCAAGGGAGAGAGAGAGATGAGAGAGTGGACAAATGAGGCAGATTATTAATTGATCCCCTGCAAAGTAATTGAATTTGCAGAAACTTAATCCTGGGGCTTATCCCATTTGAGGGGCCTCACCACCTCCCATGTGAAGTCAGCGTCATCTCTTCCAAAGTGCGCGACTTTGCATTTCTGATCAAGCACCGGTTGGCAACAATAGCTAGATTTTGGGTTGACTCGAGGGAGCCATTCCATTCAAGCCTAGGGTCCAATAAGCTAGAATGCGATTCCAAATGCCGGACGGGACCAGGCACTTCGGGAAGGAGATCAGAGATCGGCGATTGAAGCGCCAAAGAAGGACTCAACAGGTTCGTCACTCTGCATAGAAAGCAAATCGCATCAACCATGCAAACCTTGCCGACGCATCGGCAATCAGTCTTCCTCGCAGCAGCCGAAGAATGGTCACAGTTCCATACGCTGACGTAGCTCTCGCCGGACCTCTTGAGCGCCGATAATGCGTCGGCGACGGTGGCGGAGAACGGAATCGAACTCAGCGCCGGCTTTCCAAGGCAAAGGTCCGACACCTCACGAGCCAGAAACCTAACTGCCATGCAATAACAGAACGAATCTGGGATGGAAAGAGAGGATTTTCTCGAGAAAGAGTCGAGAAAATAGAGAGAGATGTAGAAAATGTATGTACGTATGCGAGGGGTTGATATTGAAGGGGCGAAAGTGTTGGAGTTTGTTTGACAGAGAAGGTGGGATTCCTTCATTGGCAGAGAAGAGAGCTCAGCAGGTTGATTGAGCCATTGTAAGGCAGAGAAGAGTTCAGCTATGGAATTTGTGGCAGCGGAGTGAAGGTATGTGTTGAAGGTTTCAATTGGTTGAGGTCCGGCGGGCGGTCAAGGCAAGGTTGCCGCCCGCCGGAAGGCGAAAACACCAAAATCTTTAACCTATAGCTCTGATACCATGTAAAATAAATTGATGTATTATTGATTGTTTTGTATTGATTGATTGATATATTGATTGTTGTGTTAATATCTGTATATTACAATTCCTATATGAGGAAACAATTATGCTGAATGTAAATGGTGCACTGAGGTGGCCATCGTTTGGGAGCCTTGGGTAGTCATCTGGAGAGGGCATGACACAGTCATCACCATTGAAGGAAATTTTTCTTGGAAAAGCCCATCCTTCCCTGAAAGTGAAAATCCCTGTATCTTTGTGTAGTACCATCTCAGTTTGTATATTTCCGTTGTACCCTGATTGGAGTAACATGTCGTTGTAGTACTGAATACCATAAAACATTCCCGTATCGTCTGGATAAATGAGGTTAGAAAGTGGAGGAACATGTAAGATTCTTTCTCACCAAACGCAAACATTCTTATAAAATAAAGGGAATAACCTTTAATCTTGATGCATTTCATAACCATCCATAGAACTTGAATGATCATCAAAATAAGTGAAACTATCAAAAAATGTGATAAATAGAGTATCAACCAACTTACTTAGGTCACCATATTGATTGAGTGCCTTATAGTTGAAGCTAAAAACTTCTGTCACACTTCGCATGTTGGGATGTAACACCACCAAGTTCCATTGGCTATAATTCTTTGCATAATTCAAGTTTGTCACTGTGATTTTGACCCGCCAGTACTACGTGTAACTTACTTTAACGTGCCAGTGCACTTTTATTGGGCACATGTGTTGTGTACACTGCACTATTGGCTGTGGAGCTTCATTAGGCAATTGCAACACTGATGGTGAGTCACCGGGCCTGCGGTTATCAGTAAAAATAGTGAAATGGAAATTAAGATTAAAAACTGTATGAAATCAGATGTTTTCAGATTAGAATCTCATTGTGATGTTGTTCATTTTTTCTTTTGTTCATACTAGAACCATTGAACTTGTTAGATACTGATTCCTATCTCAAAAGTGTTTTCTCCTTGATTTCTTTTCATGAGAAAATGGCCTGATAATATGGGAACATGATTTAGAAAGCTGAGAAAGTTCTTTACAAGAATAAGGGGATTTACCTTACACATTTTGCTTCAGGTTGTCCTTGGCAGCGACAACTACAGAGAGGGCATGAAACGATGGTTTCATTGTAGAATGCAGACAAGGAAACACAGCAAGTTGGAGTCGGTGAAGCGCGAAATTGAGAGTATGAACAAGTCACATTATATGTTGCTACAACAAACCGAAACAACAGCAGAACATAAGAAAGAAAAAGAAAGAGAAGAGTGTATAAAACAGAAGCTCAATTATGTTCACTTCTTCTAGTCAATGAAGGGGCGAAATTGATGAATCCAACTTTTGCTCTTCCCAACTAGACCTTTGTTATAGCATTAGAAATTACCAACTTGGTGTGAATGCTAGTGGACTTACCAAGAGCTTGAGTTTGTCGCCGGCCATTATCCTCAATAAACTTGCTCGGCGCAACCTCAACCGGATCTCCACAAGTATAACCAACAAGCCCAAGAGTGAAATTTCCCGGCATTGAAATATTTGTAGAGGTAGTGGAAGCACCAACATTCATCTGAAAAGCGGCGCCAAACAAGTTCGGGCCTTGTATAATGGACGATAATACCCCTCCTTTGCAACAATTAGCAACTTGCTTATTGTAAGAAACTCCAGGCATAAGGTCAATAATAACTGGCTTCTTTTCACAACAATGAGGAAGTTGCTTTCCCCTGAAAGCTGAACAATTGCCTTGTTCAGTAGTTTCAGCACCCCACATATTCCAAATTACCTCATCCCCCTGCCATGTCCAACTTAGCCTCCAACCCGGTGGCTCGATATGTCGGTACATCTGGTAATTGAAAATGACTACTCTTACCTGCAAATATTGTATAGAATTTTTAATTGGAGCTTTGAGCCTGGTGGTGAGCTGAAAATAGAATGAATTTGGGATATGAATTTGGGTATGCAGGTTAAGGCCAACTAGCTTTTTTAGATGCGCTAAGGTCATGCCAGTTCTGAGGACCAAAACCTTCGACCCAAATAAAAAAATTATTTCAAAAGGTACATTACAAATAGAATATATGATATAAATTTAAATTTAATATGGGGATTGTAATAAAGTCTCTTGGATTTTAGGAATAAAGTTTTCAAAATCTATTTGTTATTAAATATTATCGAAATATTTTGTAAAATCACTTCACTTTCTATATATATAAATTTTCATGCATCATTGTGGATCTTATTATTATTTTTAAAATGTAATCAAACTTGAATTACTTGCAAAAAAAAAAAAATTAATAATAATATGAATACGGGTGCATCACATACATATAAATTATAACAAACAATAACTTACATCTTGTGTATCTTCATTCATTTGCATAACATCCCATTTGATAGTGATGTTTCCATTAGGATCCAATGGATCATACCCATCTGCATTTCCCACAATCAAATGCAAAAAAGTCTCAAAGATTTTACAAAAAAATGCAAATTAAATCTATGATGTCTCAAACAATTCTAATTTGCTCCAACAAAAATTGACGTATTTGAAGAATACTCACAAGTTAGTGAAAGAGAACTGATGAGAGAGAAGGAAAACACAGTCAATACCAAGCAGATTGGCCTTTGATCCAAAAACAAAAATGGGTTCCAATCCATTTCTCTGACTCTCATTCTCTCTCCTCAATCTTAAGCTCTGCTGTTTTGTGTCATTCCTTATATATAGAGAGAGATATATAAGAGGAGAGAGAGAGACCATGCATTGCATAGTTACATTACATGTATGGGTATGGGTGTATGTATAATCTCATCTCTCTCTTTCATTTTCTCTCTCCTCTCTCTATATATAACGTATGGGAAAATTACACTTTTACCTTATAGTTTAACTTAAATTTCACATGCTATCAATTCAATTTAAACAATTTTGAAACTACTTTATAAGTTTAGTTTTTATTTGGTCTCCAAATAATCGTCAATTTTTTCTATATGCATTTGTAATAAAATTGTTATTTTTAACATTAAATTTGAATAAAAAGACCAAATTGAAATTACACTAAAAGGGAGAGCTCAAATTATTAAAATTAAAATTAATAAGACTAAAATAAAATTTGAAACAAATTACAATGATAAAAAGTGTAATTCACCGATATAAAATGTATATAAATGTAGATGTTTCTCTCTCTAAAACAAATAAATCAGAATTAAAGCTTTGTTTTTACCATATTTAGGTGATGAGAATGCGTCTTTGCGGGGATTGAGATCGTTTTTTGACCTCTTGCCACTAACATTTCAATCAAAAAATAATAAAAATTTTATATGAAAATTAATCACAATAATGCAATAATAATATTTTTAACATAGAAAATGTTATATAAAATATTTTTTTTTTACAACGTTTAATTTTTGAACTAACAGATATTATATGAGTTTGTAGGGAAGAAATTTTGAAATTTATAATAGGACATATTTAAATAATATGATAGGGATAACTCATGCGAGTAAAAATTATTTGTAAAATTTGTATAGTATCACTTATTTATTTATTTATAAATAATAAGCTATTTTAATAAGTTTTTGATTTGAAGTAAATAGGTACAAATCTGTGTATATATGTTTTTAGTATAATAATTTTGTTTGTATATTATTACTCTAAAAAAATATTTAAAATTTAAAATGTATAAATAGATTATTCTAAGTATAACTCACACTATGACTAATTTGATTATTTTGGGTATTAATTTGTGAAACATGATTACTGTAGCTAACCCAAATCCAATCTTAAAAAAAAATTCTAAATCTTAAGTCTGCTTACTTAACTCAATATTTATAACTAATATTATTATTATTTTTTGAAGACTTTTAAATGAATTGGACCCTCTTAATAATTATTTGAATTTCGGTTACCAAAATCTAATAGTAATATAAGTTTGGATCTTTTAGTAACTTTTTCACTTTTTTTTTGGGATCAAATAACTATTTCACTATTAGACATGAATATTTGTGCTTGTTTTACTTATATATATATACTAGTGAGGGGATTGCGTGCAAAGCACGTTAGTTGATGCCCATTAAAATGCCCATTAATAAAAGGAGATAATAATATAATTTTGTTAATAAATTTGGTATTCTGGATGAATCATAGATCGAAAAAATGAAATAGAATTAAATGAAAAACATTATGGACTATTAAATGTGATAACAAATGAGGGGCATCTTGCATTCATGTTGCTTATTTGTATAAATCTGCAGATATGGGAGGAAGACAATGACTTAGCATGTTTTGAGGTCTACATGTAATGAACATGTGGAAAGTTCAATAGCTTTTGAGATACAACAAGAACTTGAAGTTTATGATCTGTAACAAGAATCAACGCACATCATATTTTTTTGATTTTCAAAATAGTACTATAAAAATAAAGTTCAAACTATTCATGCAGGAAGAGAATGAGAGTTGTAGTAGTAAGTGGGTTAGTACCCATTGTAAGTAATATTGGATAATTTCCTTTCACAAGCAGTAAGAACCAAACCAAACCAAAAGTAATATTGAGTTGTGTCTAGCACATTGTAGTTCCAAACAGGCAACAACAAAAATATGTTACAAACCAAACCACCTGAGCCATACCAAACCAAAAATATGTCACATTGTAGTAACCTATTACAAAAATATTATAGTGTAGAGTGTTCTTTCTAGAGAGATTTGGTAGAGGGTACACTTGTTGCAGCCGAAATATCAGAAGCAGAATTTGTACCAACAGCAGCAGTTGAAATATCAGAAGCAACATTTGTACCAACAGTTGATGGAAATAGTTCTTTCTTTGCCTTGGGTTCTATTTGGACAGATTGTTGATGTGGTTTTGAAGCAAGAGTTATGATTGAGGGTTCTGCATCATCATTGTTCACTAATGTGATGACATGTTGAAGCATTGCTTGTCCACGGAACTGATATTGGTGAGGCTTTAGTTGAATAATGTGATATTCTGGCACATTCAATTTTGGAAGGGCTTCGTTTGAAACTTTTCCATCATGCATAATATATGTAGAATATTTAAAAATTTGGGAAGAAAAATAGTGAATTTGAAGATGAAGTATGTTAATTTATTTGACCTGTGTTGTATGCTTCATTAGGTCAGTAGATGAAATTGAAAAGAACTTTTCTGCATGATCTTGGAATATTGTTGCCATTATTGAACCTGAATTATCTTTGAGTTCAACTTGGAATTTGACTCTGTTTGTTTGTAGTAAATTATATGTTAGTTTTATTAAACATAAAACATTAGTTACATTAAAAGGCGTAGGGTTAGTTTGTTGTTACCTCGGTTCTGCAATAACTTCCTTTTTTTTACAGTGGAAACAGTCGAAAACAGTTTGATATTTTGCATTTATGGATTTGTAGCAATTGTTGCAGCTCATGTACCAAAAAGATTGATCAAGTGAGGTGATGGACATAGTTGCTTTGACCCAATACATTTTCTAGTAACAAGTGATTAGGAATGGCTACTAATGATATATTTAAGATGCTTATAGAGAAGAAGAATATGTATATGAAGCTTACCGCATTTGGAGAAGATGGAATGTTGCTGATGGAAATGATTTTATCTACTTTAGGACTTGGACTTGTGATGTTTCGAACATGAGTTTCAAGTGGAGAAGGTAAAGTTCTAATGACTTCTTCATTTTGGATGCACCTGCATCAATTTATTTTGATATTAGTGTTTGTAAGAAATTATTATTTGAGTTAGAGTATTTGAATTAGATGGTACCAATTGTGAAGTTGGTGTGCAGCTTTGAAGTTGGGGTTGAGCACAAAAGCTGATGTTGGTTTTGTTGATAATGATTGTCCTGTAAAAAATAAATTAAAAAAATGTGTTTTATATATTTTTAATATCTAGTATAATGTGGTAAGATTATAATTACCGTGAAACGATGAGACTTTAAGCCTGACTGCAATTAGAGTTGGGAATGATTGAGCAATGGTTTGCAATATCTCTCCTTCATTAGTGACAAACTGACCCCACAAAGTTAAAACTATTGGCATTAACCTGCTACAATTAAGAGAATTTGTTAGTATTGAAATCAAGTTATACTAAATACAAGTATACAAAATACTTACTCTTCATTAATGAGTACAATTTCTTGTGCAATTGTGGTTCCATTTTCTGTTGTGATTGTTTTTGGTGGCTTAATTTGAACAACTGCTGCAAGAATATCTGTTATAGATACAAAAACAATAAGAGTATCTAATGAAAAAGTAAGTTGATAATTATTTATGTTGATCTAAGAAAATTACCTATGGATGATGTTTCATTGCCAAGATGGTTAGAGAATTCATTGAATGGTACGAAGTGATATGTTGGGGCATTGTTATCTTCATTATTGTTTTCAACATCTCGAATAAGTGTGCTGGCCGTGATTGTCCATTGCCATTGCCATGATTGCGGTGTGATACGGTATTTTTCTTATAGCAACTTCACAGCAGCATTTGAGACATAGTATGAGTTAAAAACTTTGAAGGTATCTTGGAACTGTTCTATTTGATCTTCATAAAGTATAGCTTGAACTTGTGTACCCTATACAACTTCATAAAGTATAGCTTGACAGAAGTTAATGACGCAGTGGATTATGTAATTATGAATTAAATGAGAATTGTTATTGTTAAGAACCTAAAAAATGAATATGGTATATATTTTAAAATAAGAATTTCAAAGTGTAACCTCTGCATCAGCCAAAATGAGCCTTTGATATCTTGTTGAGCCTGTTTTTGGGATTCGTGGATTCCACTTTTCCAAAACACAAATCTTTGCTGTCCATTGTTTAGTTGTTCTAGTTATTTTTTTGATAGGTGTTATTTCTTCATTCATCCTGCAAAATTTGTTGTAAGAAACAATTTAACAAGAACTTAATACAACGATAATAGATAATTATAATAAATACAAATAAAATTAAAATTACATTACATAAGAGGAAATTTACCAAAAATTTACAACAAAAAAATGAATTATATACAGCCTGCAAGTGTTAGTAGTTCTTCATAAACAACATTTTTTGTGGTATTGTTATCCAAAGCATGTTGATTTGTTGGCGGAATGAGAACTTTAACATCTGCAGCAGTTGTAGCTCGTGATAGAGCAACATAAAGTTGTCCATGGGAGAATACTGGCTCTCGTAGGTAAAGACCTACTTTTTGTAATGTTTGGCCTTGTGCTTTATTTTATTGTCATGGAAAAACAAACTTTACTGGGAATTGTGTTCTAGTAAACTGAACTGGGTATTTTTGATGATCTGAGGGTTGCAATGGTCTTCGTGGTATGAAAACCATTTGTCCTTTCCAATCCCCAACAGTAATTTCAGCACAAATGATGAAATCTTTGAGATCTCGACAAATAAGTTGCGTTCCATTACACAAGCCTATTGAAGGATCTATGTTTCTTAAAGTCATGATCGGACTATTGATTTTCAATTCTAAATGATGAGGTGGGAGACCATTTGGTTCAAGAGAATTCAAGAAGTCTTCATATTGTCCTTGATCATTTGGATCGATTGTCTTGTCAATGCTTGTATATAATCTACCCTTTGTTGGGAATTGTTTGATCAACAAATCATTTATTTCTTGTACACAATCATTTTTTGGAGTGAGCACAACAGAATTAATCATTGAAATTGGATCTTTTGAGTAGTTCTTGAGATTTGGAAAGATAGTTTGAATCAAGTCTTTGATAGAATTTTCAGCATTTGAAAAATTGTTAGAAATTATCATAGATGCTGGTATTTTGACTTTGTTTTGATCATTGACTGATTCAGATCCATTGCCAATGCGTAATAAGTAATTGCTGAAGGAAGGATCATGCCTTGCTCGCATATTTTCAGTCAACTTTATTTTCTCAATAGATTTCCATAATTCTGAATTGACCAAGCTAGCATCAATTGAATCATATTTTGTTCCTTTGGGAATGACTGGTGGTATTTGTCGAAAATCACCACCCAAAACTACAACTTTGCCTCCAAAGAGTAACTCTGACTCGTTGATATCCTTCAACATATCATTCAATGCCTCAATGTTTTGTTTCTTGGCCATGGGTGCCTCAACCCAAATGATTAGTTTTGCAGTTCTCAAAAGATTTGCAAGCCCAGTTTGTTTACCTATGTTGCAAGATTTATATGTATCAACATCTATAGGTATTTTGAAACGAGAATAGGCCATGCGGCCTCCTGGGAGAACAGAGGCTGCTACCCCAGATGTTGCTGTTGCAAGAGCAATGTAATTCTTGGATCTAATTGCTGCCAATAATGCCTTGTATAAAAAGGTTTTACCAGTGCCTCCAGGACCATCTATGAAAAAACACCCTTGCTTTCCTGAGAAGACCCTATTTAAGATTTTTTCAAATGCTACTTTTTGTTCCGAGGATAATAGAGAAATAGACTGGTAATCAGCTTCAGAAACAACAATATTCATTTCTTCTTCAATTTCGCGACAGGTACCTTGATTATCAGATGAGAGCACGTTGTTAGAGCAAATATTGAAATCTTTGATATCTTTGCCCATTGATTGAAGAGTTGAATTTATGCTTTGCAGAACTTTTTTGAAAATTTCTTGTTTTGAAAGATTTGTTGTTTTGGCATAATCCTCTGCCATGTAGTCTTTGAATTTTTCCCACAACTGGTTTGGATTATTAGGAGCACAATGAATGAGAATGGTTGCAAACAATCTTCTTAGAGAGTAAGGCATTTGGTAAGAGATTGCTTCTTCCAAGCATTGTTCAAGATTGTTGTCTGATTGTAAGAGACCACAGAGAAGGGCAGCTTCTCGAAAAGTTTTTGCTTTTCTTCCATTTATGGTTCTCAAGGATTCAAATGATGTAGGCCCTCTGATGTTGTTTAGAAGTAACCTAAGGTAACATCTTTCACCTTGTGCAGGATGTGCTGTGACAATGCACCCAATAACATTGCCCTTTTTTCGCTCAGTCCACATTCTATCTTGTTGCCACCAAACAAAATGTTCAGGGAATTCCTTATATAAATATTTTGCAAGCTTTGCCTTTTCATTTGACTTGTTCATCAAAAAGAATTCAGTTAACATTGTTTTCGAACGGATGGGATCATTTAACACAGAATTTAGGTCATCTGAAGGATTGAAAGTAACAAATTGTTGGTGCTCAAGGTGGATTTGAAGATGGATTACTGATGGGTATATGTCATTCAAAGAGAATGCATAAATTCTCCACATTGCCTCTGGAGGTGAAATCCATCTTGCCGACTGAAATTGTTGGATTTCATCTATGATTTCTGATTGATTTTCTTGAACAATATGGAATGCAATTTTATCATGGCCTTTGTAAATATACTTGTACAAATATTTGACAGCTTTGATTGTTGAACAAATTTCCACATTAATGTGGCAATCATATTTGGCAAGAAGATATGGATTGTACGAAACTACCCAACGGTTATCCAAAATTTTCCTTCTGATTTTCACTTGATTACCATCAGCACGACGCTTGTATATTGGGTATGAGTCTTTGGAAGATCTTGTTATAGGTTCAAAATTTTTGGGATAATGATTTTTGCATTTTCCATTCTTCATGCAAATGTTGTTCGGATTCATTTCACCACAAGGTCCATGCATCATGTGTTTGACCACCATAGAAAACAAATGAGGATGTTTTTTTTGATCAGGAAGTTCAACAGATACGATTGAATCATAAGTATCAGGAGATAAAGGCTTTTGTCCAGGTGCTAGAATTAATAATAGATGCATATGTGGAAGACCCGTCTTTTGAAATTCAATGACATAGACATATACAACGACTTTTCCAAAGATTTGATGTTTTATGATGTCATCCTTCAGTTGTTCCATTTTTGCTCTAAAAGCACGAGAGGTTAAATCTGGTCTATTTTGAGCTTCCTCATTAGGTCCTAACTCAGCTTTAATCTCTGGCCATGTTGGATTACAAGTCATTGTAAGAAAGATATCAGGTTTGCCAAATCGCTGGACCAATGCCATTGCATCAACATATCGACGTCTAAGATCTCTTGGACTACCTATGAATGACGGTGGTAGTATAACTCTGTGGCCAATCTTTGAACCTCTACCTTCACCTGTTGTGACACTGTCTATGATTCCTTGATACAAATCAGCCCTGATTTCTCTTTGTTTGTTTCGAAAGAACTAAAGTCTAGATGTTTCAATCTTGACATACATATTAACACAATACTGCTGAAAGAGACGACCAGAGCGGAGTAAGATTGAAGAATCATTGGGTCGTATTTGAAGCTTGTAGCAGTAGTATTCACGACAAGAAATGGTAGTTTTCTTATTCTTTTGTTTCTGAAACACTGAAATAAATTTTTTCTAGTTAGGAGTAAAAAAAATTTAATACTATTTAATTGATAAGGAGAGGATCTATTTACCTTGGGCTTCTTTTATAAGAAGTATAGCGATCCCGGTTGTCCCTTTACTGTTCTGTTGTATTCCGGACTCGGTTTCGTGAAGTTGGTGGTTGTGTACCTTGTTGTTATCCTTTGATTCCACCAGTGTGAGTTTTAGGATATTTTGGGCAGGTGGAGTGCAGGTTGGTTGAACCTTAGTCTCAAATCTAGTTGTCCAGGTTTTTGGTGTTACGCTCGAGCGGGTCATTCTGTGCTCGAGCGGAGTTTGGTTTTTGGTTGTCCGCTCGAGCGGGTCCTTTTGCGATCGAGCGGGGTTTACACGCTTCCAGTATTTCGTGGCCCTGCAAAACTTCTGCAGGTGTGTTTTCTACGCTCGAACGGGTTTCTTGCGCTCGAGCGGGTCGCGCTTGAGCGGGATTGTTGGCGCTCGAGCGGGTAGTCCTTGTCCTGTATAGTTCTGGGGGATGAAAATCTGTGCTCGAACGGACTGGTTTTCACGCTCGAGCGGATGTGTTTTGATTTTGTTTCTTGGCGCTCGAGCGGTTATCTATGCGCTCGAGCGGGACCAGATGTTTGTGCTTTACGCTCGAGCGCTCTATTCTACGCTCGAGTAAGTCATGCGTATATGAGTTATCCGCTGGGTGATTTTAAATCACTTTTTACTTTTCTTTCTCTCTCCTACTTTTTCTAAAGCCCATTTTTGAGAGCCCCTCTCTCTAGAAACTCCCTTCTCTCTAGGGTTTGATCTAGTTAAAGTGTCCTCCTTCTCTTCGGCCTTTGTAAGTCCTCCTTCTCTTCGGCCTTTGTAAAAGTTGTGTTGATCGTTGAGGGCGTCGTTTTGATCCGAAAATCTTGGCTTTTGGAGCACTTTGGCTTTAGTCTCTTCTCCACCCGAGCTCTAACTTCGAGGTAGGGATACCCTACTCCTCTTTATGAGCTTTGTCTTTAAATTTTAGCATTTTGATATGTTGGGGTTGTTGGGTAATTTTGAGAGGGTTTGGGCCTTTGTATAATTTTACAAAAGTTGGGGTTTTTAATTATGTAAAACCTAAATGCATGTTTGGCATTAAGGAATGAAATTAATGTTGAAACATTGATGAAAATGAAATCGTGGGGGTTGAAATATAAGTTATGGAAAATGCCCTAATTACATTGATTGATTAATTTGTATAATTAATTGTTGGAATGAGAGATTGAAGTGAGAATGAGGAAATTGGAAAGGGAAGGGATTAGAGGGTATAGTTGGATCATTTATCGCTCACAAAGTTGAAATGTTGATTTAATATCCATTTTGTGCATTTATTTTCTGTTTAGAAATAACTGCTTTGGGCTATCGGTGGAGGATAGTCTTGATTGTTGTAGACAATGCATGATGATTAGGTAAACTAAAACTAATCGATTGAATGCGTCATAGAGTATGGCGGTGGATAGAATACATAAATTGTATGTATTGATTGATTGTGTATAGAACCTTTGTGTTTATATGCATTGTGTGTAGAGGAGGAGATGGGGGATGTACTCCGCGGTTTAGGGGAAGATGGGAGATGTACCTCTAAACCGGATAGGATTGGGAGGAGATGAGGGATGAACTCCGTAGATACAGCTCATATGCTTGTCTAGAGAAGTGAAGATACAGCTCATAGGCTTATCTTTGATAAGTATAGATACAACTCATATCTTCCTGCATGTTTTCCCGAGATGTTGATATAGCTTATATGCTTATCTGTTGATGCGTAAGATGTTTATCTGTTGATGTGTTGATATAGCTAATATGCTTATCTATTAAATAAGGATGGAAAATGGAAAGTGACATAGACTCGTATGTTATGAAATTGTGACGTGATATATGTGGATGTATTGGTGTTGGCCATCTATCAATTGCTAATCTTTTAGTCATTTTTCATAGTTGGTTTAGTATATTTCTGCTGGGCTGTGGCTCACCCTATATGGGAACATCATTTTCAGGTACAGGTAGCATGCCACCTCCAAGGACATAGCTTGGGAGGCTAGAGGTGGATAGACTTTTGTTGTCTTACTTCCTTTTGATGTATTACATGTAAATTCAAGCCAAGGGCTTAATGTGTAATCGAGTTAGTACTCTCTTTTGTAACCAAGTGTTAACTTGGAAAGCTGTAAGCCCGTAGGACATTTGCTTTTGTTGTTAATATGTAATGCTTTTGTAATGAAGTACTCTGATGAATTGAAGAATATGGATCTTTTGTATATAAATGTATGTTTATATTGATGGGCTTAATGTTATTATTTTGAGGGCGTTACAAGAAGGTCTGAAGCAGTAAGAGCTTGATGAACACTAAGAATAGATTGTTGATGGCATGTAATTTTTGTTTGGTTTTTGTCAACTCTATCAATACCATAATGCCATCCAGATTCACCATATGGAAATAACAATGGATATTGTAATGGGTCATAACATCCAAAATACCATTGAACTTTTTCACTATGACCAGAAATTTGATGAACAACAATATCTCTTGAGATTTCTTTGGTTAAGACATCATTTTCAGACCAAATTGCTGCCACTTGTGAGGTTGAAGGTTGATTGTAGACTCTCTGATCTAACGATACATCAAATTTAATAATAATTTGTACAGAGTTCAAATGATCTATGTGTTCTAATCTCCTGAAGAAGATTGAATATGGATTTAGATGTGAAATATTTATGAGCCTTTCAAGAATAACAGGATTTAGCTTTTCTGAAGATTTCATTCTATTTTGGATTTCATGATCAGTGTCATAAAAGTAGAGCTGTAGATGACTAAGATTTTCATCAGAAGATGTAAGCTCATTAATGAAGTGATAAACTTGACCTTGTATCCTGAATGTATAGATCCCTTTATTTCTCCGACACAGTTCCTTGTCATATTTGACTCCAAAAGATGTGAAAGCAAAGCAATTGTTATATGTTCGAACATACGTACGAAATTCTTTTGCTTCCTCAGAGTTAGATGTATATAACCAATCAAGTTCTGGAGGACAGTTACTGGAAACCAAAGAGACTTGTCCACCCATACAACAAAAGCTATTAGGCTCAAGGTAAAACTTTTTCGCACCACAAAAGTTGCAAGGTCTTTGTAGTGGTAAGATAGCAGGTTGAGTTGGAATGCCGTCTGTTTTTTTGTTAGAAGCCTTCCATATTCGCGAACTACAATTTTCTATGAAGCGGAAGATATAATTTTGTTATTTAGAAAGTTAAGCAAAGAAATTAATTTGTAAAGAATTTAAATTTAGAATCAACCTGCATCAGGTTTTGAGCGATGATTTGTTCCGGAAGTGGAATCTATGAAAATTAATTTGTGTTAATGTTAGATTTGTTGCTATAATTCTATTAGATGATTTATATAAAAAGAATAAGATTCAAACCTTTTTCATAAATACCGAAATAACTTATGTGGGATCCCTCTGTTGTCATGACATGTAACAAAGCCAGTTTGAATAGTTGAAACATGATTTCCTAATAAAAATAAGAAGAAAAAGAAAGAAACTAAATGAAATGTTTATCATATGATTTTAGAATTACTATGTTATTATGTAATCACGTTCAATATTTTTTGTTATCAGTTACCTATACGCAATTGTTGCTGATTTGAGTTGCTTCCTTGAATCAATAAATCTCTATTTTTTGTTGACGATGTGCGTTTCCTTTTTTTATCTTGACGGAAGTCTATGGAATGTACCAATAATTCATATGGCAAATATGTTAGATTTACAAGAGATGATATTTTTAAGCTAAGATTAGTAGTAGGATAACTAATCTTGATTTAAATCTAATGTTGATTTAAAGGAAAAATCAATACCAACAGAGTTTTCAGCCTGTGAAAGTAGATATTGTTTCTTTTTAGCATATGCCTCTCGCAGTCTTCTATTTTTTTCAAGTCTTTGTTTTTCTGTAAGCAGAGGAATAAAGTATATATGTAAAAGGTTAATATTTTAATGTTCTTTTCTTTTATATAAGTTATGGGTAAATATGTGTAGAACAAATGTTTGAACAGAAGTTAAAAGTTTTAAAGTAAGTTGTTTTGTACTTTTAACCAAAGATTGATCGGCATCTTCCTGATCGGCACATAATCTTCGTTTTCGCATTTTTGCGTTGCACAACTACATACTAAAACTACATAAAAGAAGTTTATTTTTGTATTAGTAGAATGAATGGATTGTATTGAGCTATGTCTTATGTTTAACAATACTATTTATGTGGAAAAACATTAAATGGTACTAATTGACACATTTATATCATAATATTCTAAAGATAAATAAATTAAAGAATGATAATTATTTGGAATATAACATGCAAAAAAATTATGAAACGAACAAATTTTTAATTGTAGCTAAACAGTTAAAGCAAAGAGAACCTGGCAAAGCTCAGTTAACTTGGTAGAAGAGTGTGGAATTGTGACTACTGCAGATAGAAAAAGAAAGGTAGTTTAGAAATTGAAAATAGCGAAATGGTTTGGATTGGACAGAAATCAAAAGATTGATATTTAAATTAAAGAAATTTATTTCTATACTAATGCTCAAATAGTGGATATTTTTTTTAATTGTCCTTTATAATTATTAATAATACTGTAAAAATGAAATTTTCAATTTTAAAGAAAAGCAAAAATCATATTTTAGCAAACAACAGTTATGGAAAAAAAAAAGTAACATTTTATTTTAAGGATTTGTAAGAGAAATTTACAGAAGTTTAATATGTGTTTTTATTTTATATGAAGTAATTTTAAAAAAATAGTTTTACTTTGAAAATTAGGATTAAATGCTACAATAAATGAATAAATCATTGAATAAAAAAGTATATGCTGGTATAGTTTCCTTGATTTGGTGAAAATTTTATTTCTCTGTTGATTTTATACAAGTTTGATTAAAGGATTTGACCTCATTTTCACAAAAAAATTCATCAAATTTTGGGGTTTGGTGAAGAATTGAAGATGCTGTAAACAGTTAAAAATTAAAGAGTAATAAATATAAATGAGAACTTACAATTCAATGCTGAATA